AGGCTCGAGATGGACAGAAGTTGACTTGGCAGTGGGAAATGAAGTCACTGACGACCAAACTGGGTGCCGTTGGTCCATCTCGCATTCCGGGCTGGAGTCCACGTGACTCGCCTTGTGCTTGGCTTGAGACTTTACAGGACGGCTCGCAACCGATACCAGTGACGCGTTTGCTGCCGTCACGCAATCGGATTGTTTGTTTATAATGTGTTTGATGCTGAGTTATCTGCGGGATAATGGCTGATTATGACGCGGGGCAATGAAGACCGCAAGGAAGCTGTCTCGTTTGTGCCGCCTTACAGACGTGCGCCTTACTACGTTTGACCGCCAAAAGCATTCGCAGTCCGTTACGATATAGCTTGTACGTGTTGCCCACGGACTTCAAATCGTAACGCGAGATTACACCTAGGTCCTTCACGGAGGGTGTGGGATATAGCGGTTGGCCATCATGGGTGTAAGTTCGGACGTTAGCACCCGTATCCAGGCTCATGAATACAGACTTGGCTGGGTTGACCGGGAGATGAACTTCTGCTGGCCATGTGGATAGACAGTTGAGGTTTTGCTGAAGTAGGCCACTGTCGTCGGGAGTGTCACTTTCACTCCAAATCTTTATGACGTCTGCAAACAAGGTCCACGACTACCGGAAAAGCTGAGGTAGATCGTCGATGTGGATCAGGAACAGAGTGGGCCCCAGCACAGTGCCTTGAGGCACGCCACTTGTAGAAGGATACCAGTCAGTTAGATGGTCGTCGACCTTTACCCTCCACCTTCGTCCAACAAGAAAGTCGTGGCTCCACCAGTACAGTGAGCCACCGACACCGCACATGCTGAGTTTGTGAAGGAGAACCTTATTTCTGACCTTGTCGAATGCTTTACTGAAATCGATGAATATCAAGTCGACAGAATTCCGCTTGCTTATTGCCTTCAACCACTCATGCATCCTCACAAGCAAGTTTGTAACGCATGAGCGGCCTTGCATAAAACCGTGCTGGGCGGGCGTTAGGACCTTTTTTGACTGTAGCAACTGCAAGAATCCATTTTTTACGATTTTCTCAGCAACCCTTGCCAAAATAGCTGAGACAAAGCCTGTAGTTGTCTACTTTGCTAAGGTCGCCGCCTTTCGGAATAAGCTTCACCGAACATCTTCAATCAATCGGTAACGAATCTTCGGACAGCGACCTGTTGGAAAGGTCAGTCACCACAGGAGAGATGATGGCCGAAAGTGACTTGAGAATCAGTGGGTGAAGCCCATCAGGTTTGATGCCATCAAGGATGGCAAGTAGTTGACATGTCGAGTTCGGTAAAAGCGGTACACGTCGAACTCGGAATAGACACCTGATCATTTGCAAATACAGAAGCGAAGAGCTCCGCCAACGCGAATGCACGCTCAGTGCTGGAGGTTAGGCACTGCCCGTCCGGGCCATCCAGCACTCGCTCATCATTTGCCGGCTTCAGGCGTCGCTTCACGTAAGCAAGGATTCTCTTTTGGGGTGGTCTCCTTTGCGATTGCGAGCTGCTCTTCGTAATATCGGCGCTTAAATTTTTGGCACTGTTGCAGAGGTTCAGCTGACTTTTATACCCTTCGTAGTCATTGGCAGAGCCAGAGAGGAGGAATCTGTCCCACAGTCTGCGCCACCTCCCAGCCAGATTTCCATACTCCCTGTCAAACCAATGAGGTTTATTCGGTCCAACCTTCCGACATTTCAAGGGCACAACTTGGTAACACTGATGTCAATCTCTCTTTTATAAATGTCCAACAGTCTTCCACAGATGCAGCTTGTAACAAACCAATCCATTTGGCTCGGATGTCGAGCTAGACCGTTGAAGTCCGTTTTCCAGTAGTTGTAAGGTGGTTCCAGCGGAAGCGAATAGGGCAAACGTAATTCCATATCAGCTATGAGCACTGAGTGGTCGCTTGTATTCAGGGGCTCCAGGATCCCAACGTTACGCACTCGTTATTCATAGCTCGTTAACATCAGGTCGAGACAGGAAGGGGTTGAGCTTGGTGTTCTGAATGTTATCTGGCATATGTGTTGCGATGCACCCGTTTCAAGTACCAGACCCACGAACTTTGCTTCAACCTCACCATGTCCAGGCATCAAATGCACATCAGGCCATCGTATTCGAGGACAGTTACAATCGCCCATAAGTAGAAAGTGTGGACGACTCATGTGGATTCGAAGATGGGGGCAGTCAATCCAAACAACTACTCAGGGGGTTGCGATAGACTGCGCTCACAAGTAGTTCTCCGCGCCTGAAGCGGATGGAGCACCACAGTAGCTCACACAGACCATCGTCACTTCGGTAGGTGCTCACAAGTCTCCCACGCAGGGAAGACCAGATGTAGAGCAAGACATCACCGCGGGCATTCGTTAGTCTATCACATCGAAAGCATGAGTAACCGTTGAGTTGAAGTTACTGGGTTTATAATTCCGAATGTAGCCGTGTCTCTACGAGTCCCACTACGTCTGGCCGCTCAGACGCAATGAAACAACAAAGCTCATCGCCCTTGTTCATAACACTGCAAACGTTTGTGAAGGCTACTCGCAGGCCGCAGCAGGAACCGCCGGGCGTGCTTGGAGTGTGAGCAGCTTGTTTATCCTGATTTGCAGATTCTTGGATACCACCCGAAAATTTGCGATACGGAGATTTGTTTCCCTCTCATCAGTACCTCTTTTCAGCTCAATGATGGCAGACTTGAGCCGTTCTCGGTCTACTGGGTCCAGGTCGGCACGAACACGGATCTTCAAATCTTTCAGCCTACTTAGGTGGGACAAGATCAGTCTTGGACTGGCTTCGTCTACAAAAATATTTTCATAGGCCGATTTTCTTGATCACCTTGTTTTCCAAGACGGGTAATTTGCCTCACTTTTACCGAGTCCTCAGCAGCGTCCAGCAGTCTGTCAATTAGACTCTGTAAAAACTCGACATCGTGATCGTAGCGCAGTTGGGGTGATGGATCACTGCATTCCGGCCCGTGGAAGATCACGAGGTGCTAATACCACTGGTCGGACAAGGTTGACCTTGCAGGGCGAAGGATGTTACCAGCCTCATGTGGTTTAGCTAACTGTTTACTTACGGAAGTTAATGTTATGGGCCGGCATCCTTTGGGCTACGGGCGTTGAAGATTGCACGTTGATCTCCGAAAATCTCATGCAGTAGTTCCGCTGTATGCATCAAGTCAAACCCTTTAGGTTGCTTTATGCGGATGAACTTGTAACACGATCGTGCTTGGCGTCTTTTAGTTTCTGCATTAAGATCCGTGATTTCTGCGCGTCATCTTTACCCGTAAACTCATGCTTTTATGTATCCTTCCTGCAGACATTCCACGAGTCTAAGGTGAGACCGGATACAAGCTTGTAGTGATACTCCGAACTCGAATCTGAAATAGCATTGGCTGCGGATGCAAAGTTGTTACTTGTTGATGGAACTGTTAGTTAAAGGGAAAGGTACTGGACAAGGGTTTAAATGAGTCGCAATTTAAATTGCTCGAACTGCACTTGCTGTTGATGGTGGCTTGCTTTCAAATCTTCGGTTGAAAATTACATTCTTGAAATCGTCATGTGGTTCCGTCGCCAGTGTTGTGCTCTTGGTATCTGTCAATCAACCACACGGTAAACAACATGAAAGATAGAGACTAACAAGCGTTAATGGGAGATAAATCTCTGGGTGGAAAATCTGGAGTGATTGAACGCTGCGCATTGGAGAGAAACAGTGTCACAGTCCAATGCAAGATCGGTGACTAGCTGAATTGAAGGAATAGTTGGTTAATGAACATAACTGTTGACAAAATGGATGTACTCCTTTTCAAACGGACCTCCTAACTTGAACGTTTTTCTCTCTGTCCCGCAATCACTGGCCCATCTGATATATTGTGCTAGGTATCAGTAGCACGCCAGTAGTACGCAACCACGAGCGATTGTATGCGGTCTGGGATACTGCATGGACGCCCAGGTTGCTACGGGTTCGTGGACTGAAACGTTGAACGTCGATACTACAGGCCAAACATGGATCATTGGATCACTGTTGTTCCAGCCACGGCACCACATGATAGTCTCGTTTCCTCGCCATAGGTTTGGGTTATGCGACGTTTGGAGGTAGGGGATAAACAGATGCTTACCAATCCATACATTGGTTTTAGCGTTTTGATTGTGGCTTCCGTGAATAACTTTAATGCTTTTCCTTTTCTGGCTGTTTTAAGTTATTTCTTGTTTGGACTCCTGTACAGTTTGCGACACAGCTAATCTTTGTTCATTGTGAAAAATCCACGATCAAAGTTCTCTGCACACACATGTACGTTCATACCTAAGTTTCCTTTCGGATTATTCGCCAGTTTTCACCATAACAGTCCAGCACTGGTCGAATCGTTCTAGGCACTTAGGCTTTAGCAGCTCAACGATGTCCCGTGATGCTGTGATCTTTTAGCTCCCTTTCGTCACCGAGTGGATAAAACTTCTGGCTTATAATTCACGGTTTAGTCGTCCGATCACGCGTAGATGTAGGCGACCTCGGAGTATGCCTAACCGCTTGCTGCTGCTAGTGGTTATGTAATAGCGAAATGCGGGTACGAGTTATCGGCGTACTGCTGAGGTCCTCATTCATCTACTAGCTACAGAATTTATCAGCTTAGTACATCTAGACCATCAATGCGACGCGTCCCGCTAATCGCTTAATTGTTATCACCAACAGCAGCTTTTTGTGCCACGTCTTTTTTCAAGCTATTACTTTCTTCCTTGGCCGGCCGTTGACTGAAATGATAGGGCGTCTGCTTTGTAATCCAGAGGACATCGGTTCCAATCTGCGTAGCTGCGAGCGACCTCGCAGAATCCTCAGCCTACACTCAACCCATGTCAGTACCGTGGCGGCGGTAGGTCGGTGTGCTACTAATGATTTTCTTTTCCTCCTTACTTCTACAGTATTGCTTCCATAACTCCTTGGCACCATCGTGCGTCTGAGTTTGTCGACTTGCTACTGTTTATACCATCTTTCCCATTCCTTTTTAGGAGTTTTCGTGTTACACCCCTATATTTTTCAGGGGTTTAATTTTCCCGGGTCCATATCCTTGAAAGTTACAGGCGATAGGAATTCTACATGTCGTTGGACTTAAATTCCAATGGTGATTCGCTGCGATCATCCGTAGATTCTGTGTTAAATGGAGCACATGCTTGGTAAGCTACTTTCTTTACGTGGTTATTGTCGAGGGTGGTCTTTGGCTACTCAGGAACCTCTTTCACATTGGACGTCGTGAACTCTGGTATGTTCTTTTGCATATATTCATTACCCCGAAGGGTCTGATACGAAAGATATGTTGGAAGAGTTTTCTTCCCATCGAGTCATGTTTGGATTCGTGCGAGTTGACCATTCCGGACAAGCTTCCCTGCCTCCTAAATACGTGTTCATATATTGGGTAAGCTGAGCTATGCATGCAATCAGACTTTTTTCTCACACTTTACCCATACTTCCAACGATCTCCGGTTAGGTGCCATCCGCTCAGTCCCACATTTATTAGCGCTAGTCCACTTCGCCTTTTCATCGACTGCTTTATACGTACATGTTCCTGTTTTTTACTACAAAGCATATACCATGACTGGATGATGACCCTACGTGATTTATGCGGTTTCAGTGCCTTGTTCATTCACTAATAGAACTTTTCGAGCTCATTGCCGTTTTCGTTATCACCACAAAACTACCAAAAGCAGTGCATCAGTAATTGTTACCTATGCTGTGCTACCGCTCAACACAGGGTCATATCATTGTGGAGTACTAATGTGGGGAAAACAAGACTTGATGAACAACCTAGATGACCTAGTCAACTGCTCATGGCGCTTACGCGTTTCAAGGAACACAGCTATTAACAGCTGACTGTCATTTGAAGACGGCATCACTGATATAGCTTTCCCGCGGTTCTCATTGCTCCGCTTCATAATCAATATTGTTCAACAGGTGACCCAACGCTGCACACACACCTCAGACGAAGCAATGCGGCTAGGAGACAACCGCAAATATAGCATGGTTTTGCTGTCTAATTATACTTTCTGTGAAGTTGAATTTGGATTATTTGCTGTGTGGTTGGATTGCGACACGCAATTTCCATCCAGACCTCGGTTCACTTTGAATTATACCTCGGTCATTACGATCACAAGGATCGCGTTCGAATTGTTTGGTTTGAAAACCACTTTCACAGCCTAAGCTAGGGTTCTTACCATTCAGCTAAGCTTTGGTGTATACCAACCCTAAGGATCGGGTGCACCGCTTAGATCGCACAAACGCTTCTTTGTTAGCTTCCAACGCAACGCAAATGGGGTCAGTTTGGCGAAGCGTTTCACTAGTTTCCTTAGGTATTTCTAACTCTTGATCGATGCGGAACGCCACATGATAGTCGATCCTGCAACAAAACTCAGTGTGCGTGGCATCCATGACCCCGATCTACGCCTTTCCCCAAACCTTGCCGGACTACGTCAACGTTAACTCCCAGTTCAGTTGAACAACTATGATCCGAGCACCGAAGTATGGTGGATTCAGTTATCACGACTCACATTGCAAGAATAACAATAATTAACAACGGCAAGATCGTTGGGCTAAAGGCAAATAGAATGCAAAGAATATGCCAGCAAGAAGGAAGTGCGTTAAACTAATCTGAATGGAACGAAGATTCACTACCAGATGCAAGAAACCGAATGCGGGTACGCCACTGACTGCGTGACTGCGCCATATCTGATACAATCTCTAACCATTGGTGTGGACCATCCCGAGGCCCCGCCTGAGTAAGTCTGTCAGTCAGTTTCTTCATGCCACTATGCCACGTCATGAACTGGTCACCTCGAGGTTTCGCCCAACTTGGTGCAGCCATGGCGTCTCGTGCACGCCGAGGAAGCCGGTCAACAAGCTTACGGAGGACATGGCCTAGCCAGCGTAAGCCATTCAGACTCAGCAATCACTCGAGTGAGGCACCAGAATGATTCGTGACAAAAAACCAACTGGCTGTCCTCAGCATTGCTCACCAGGTGTTCCTACCAGACGTGATCAATATTCCGCTAACCCCGGTGGTCAAACACGGCCAGGTATCTAATGTCTTCGCTGCGAACTGGCCAGGTCTCTGATCCGGCCTTACCGCAGCGTTATGCACGCTGACTCACTGACAGGCTGATATCCCGCCGTCTCCGTAGAGGGTTACTTCTCTGGAAAGCCACACGGGCCTTGCTGATACGCGGAATAATTTCCTCAGTGATGTAACCACCAGGAGTGACACGCTTAACATGGTAAATGATCAATCCACCACCTCCAGTGGTTTTTCGGTGATAGCCAGAACCGTAGGTGTGTCGGTCCAGTCATGCGGCAGTACTTTGCACATTGAAGGTGCGAAGCACATGCCGTAGCGAGCGGCGCTACGCGTCAGTCTATCTAGCAGTGTTTGCACAGCCACTGCTTCGGACCCAAGGAGAGCTATGTCGTCCGCATACTCCGGGTTTGTCGGTCACGTGGCAGAACTACTCCGGTAGAGTCTGAAAGAACGGATTCACTCATGATCATTTCGATACCAAAGTTGAAGAGAGAAGAAGATATAGAACAAATTTGGCGAGCCGCATTTGTCGTGGGGAACTCAGGAAACAGTTTCCTATAAACCCTTACACGACCTCGGGGTCACGGTAGTGCATAATGAAAAGGAATTTAACCGGCACGCCCTTCATGGATTGGCAGTGTCACAAGGTGGTGCGGCCAACAGAGTCGAAGACCGCTTTCAGGTCAAAGAAAACCACCATTGTCGCTTGTCTGTATTTGTGTCTCTGCTCCAACACTTGGCGAAGAGTAAATATGTGCTCGATACAACCACGATTAGGGAGGAAGCCAGTCTGCCTTTCTGTGATTCGCTTCTCACGGGAACCAATAAGTCGCTGGAGAATGTTACCCATGAGGAGTTTGGATGCAATGGAAACAAGACTGATGCCTCGATAAAGATGGGCATGGCTGTTGACAGTCACCACTCGGAAGGTACCACTTCACTGCACCAAATCTTGTTAACTAGAGTAGCGAGTCCAGTCAACAAAGAGACACCACCATCTTACAGCAAAGATGGAAGAAGTTCATCGGGTCCAGGAGCATTGTTTCGTTTCAACAGAGAAACCTTATGTCGAATCTCTTCCAAAGTAGGTGTGATATCTACTATTCACGCCGGTTCAGACGATTCCGCGAGCGGAAATGTCGCAGCAGGCCTGCTAAACTGCCCTTCAAAACCTGCCCTCCAACGGGCTAATCGACGACACTGAGAATAGAACAGCTGTCCGTCTTTCTCAGCAATTGTCTCGCTAACGTGTGGCTTTCTCAAATCCGTGTTTCTGACGAGGTGGAATAGCAGTTGGCTGTTCCCAACGGCACTGGCTTTCTCCATCTCATGGGCCTTTGCTATTCGCCAACGTTCCCAGTGGATTCGAAGACTTCTTGCGATGCGTCCTTTCAGAGACTTACAGACATGCTGAAACTCAGTGCCCATTGGAACTTATTTCCGTGCTTTGATCAAGGTTATCGGTGCCTCAGAGATCCATTCGCAACTACGACGTCTCAAGTTGAGTGCACGGCATGCGTCAAAGACATTCTTCATAGCACATTTGTGACGATCCCAGTCAGCGTTCTGTTCACCAACCTCATTCATCACTGACAATTGGTGGGCCAGTTCATCGTGATATTGTTAAACTGCAGATTGCGAGTTCAAGTAAGAGGTTAGAAGATAGGCGCTTCTTTGAAACGCGAAGAGCGAGCGCCAAGCATGCGCGCACTAGGGCGTTGTCAAAATCCAGGCATGTACTCCAACTTGACCAACAATTTTATACTGATGTGCGCAATCTGTAGCTGATGGCGATATGGTCAAGTTAGGTCCAGGTCATTGAAGAATTCTCTGGGCACCAGCTAACGCAGTGTGAACGTTTGTGTTGATAAGCAGTGCTGTTAAGGTAAATGTTATGGTCAGCGCACACTTGCAGGAATCGTTCACCATTGTCTGTTCGACGTGCATCGATTCCGAAACGCCCTCCCAGGTGCTGTTCAGAGTCTGAGAGATGACTCATTTGGGCATTCATGTCACCAGCCACAATCAATATGTTAGTATTCTTCGCCATTCAGAGAAGAGACGAGAGCTGTCGATAGACATCGTCTTTGATACCCTCTGAACCGCATTAAGTAGAGGCATAAGCTGAGGCGATGAAAAGGCACCATGAATTCATACGTTGCTTATTAACTCCAGTAGTAGTTCGAAGTCGAACGGCACACATGCGACTGTTCTCCGGTATCCAGTCAAGAAGATTGCTTTCAACATGTTTGCTGATAGCAAAATCAGCACCGCAAGTACCTTGAGCCGTTGACTCGGTATCGCCAGAGAAGCGAAGAATGTAGTCCTTTTCGTCAGATTTAGAATCAAGGAGTCGAAGATTCGTAACAAAGCTGTTATCTTGTATGTGTGTTTCGGAGACAGCACACATCAATGTGCTTACGATATTGCCATTATCTATGACAGCTCACAAATGTGCCAACTGTCTCTGGACAGAATGACAATGGCTGTCAACTCTTTCGGGTTATGGTTTGCACCGCAAAGGTGCAAAGCTTTCCTTCAAGATTGGCAGGGACCGCCTCCTGTGCTGATCCTTTGTGGGAATCAACTAGAAGTCGTTCAAAATTTCAAATACCTAGATAGTTGTATCATTGCCGTTGGAGTTGAAGACGAGGTCACAAACCGTATAGAAAAAGCACGAGGTACTTTTGCCACATATGGCGCTGGCGCGGCATCACTCTCTCCTTAAAGGTCAGTGTACAGTGCGGCCGTACATTCTGCCCTACTATACGGTTGTGAAACTTGGCCCATTCGATCGACAGACATAGAGAGGATAGTTACCCTCGAGCACCGTTGCTTTCGCAGTTTGCCTCATATCTGGTGGGAACACCGTGTGGGCAATCAGCGTGTTCGACGCCTTGTTTATGGAACAGGAAGAAAAAGCGAATCCCTCAGCACCGTTATCTCACACACCAGGATCCGATGACTGGGCCACCTGTTGCGCATGCCAGCCCACCGACTCCCGCGACGTGCATTGTTTGCGCGCCGGGATTGTGGATGAAAGAAGAAAGGTGGCCAAGCGATGACTTGGTCAAGAGGAATGAAAGCCTTACTTCGAAGTTGGGCTCGGTTTGATCCTCTCGCCTCCCTGGTTGGGGAACGAAAGACGATGAGCACGCTTTTCTGGATACGCTTATTGACATGGCTAGGCGCCGACCTCAATGGCGTTTGTCTTATGCGTTTCTTTCTCTCTGCCCCTCCTGTTTAGCCTCCTCCTCCAACCATGGTCTCTATTATTAGGCGTAATCTAACTTTTTTGCGACACAATAGCCGGCTGTTACCTTTCCGAAACGTTATCCATCCGTTAC